ATTATTATTTTATAAGATTAACAAAATATTGGCAACAACATTAAAATGTTACAAAAAATTATTAAAATTTTACAAAAATATTACTTTGGTAACATTTTTACTTTGATAACATTTAAAAAATGTTACCTAATTATGCAAAAGTGTTACTAAAAGTCTTTAGTAACATGGACTATATACAACATTTGAATGTTGCTAAAACAAATTAGCAACATTTATACATAATTAAGTAACATTTTTTAAATGTTGCTAAATATCACTTGTGTTGTAGTGGTAAAGCCAAGCAAGTATATTAAGCAAACTGCTTTAAAATAGTGAGAATAGCTAAACTTATTGCAAGGATCGAAGATGGCCATTCCTCTAAACATCTCAACTAAGATTTGTAAGCTTTATTGTCTCATTGGAGCTTAGAGCTGAAAGACTATTGTCCAAGAACATCTTTATCTATTACCAACCTGCAAACTCCACTTATGTACCGTTTGGATAAAACATGTCCTATCACGGTATTATATACCATAAATAAGAGTACAATTCACCTAAATAGTAAGCACCGACTTTATTTCATTTCCTGATTTTATACCATTAAAAAGAAACTAAAATTGTAGAAACCTTTTCTTGGGATTAGGTAGCCTAGAATCTAATCAAAGAAAATCAGTTTTAACTTTTAACCTGAATTAATTTAGTATTGTAAAGAACACTACTATCTAACATGCATCGTTTTGTTAGATCAAACATAATCAAAATTTCTAGAGTCCTTACAGGCCATAGAAATTTGATCTTTTGATTTTCCATTACTTGCACAGTTCAATTACTGTATCTATATTTGTATATATTTATTTATCTATTAATCTATATATACCTACAAATGAATGCTGGCTAAATATATCTATTGATTTATCCATTGATCTGTATACACATGGATGTTGATTAAATATGTAAGGTCCATTGTTGAATAAGTTTCATTATATAAAGGGTCTTGTTATGATTTTGTTTGCCAAGCTCCTACTTCCCTGATAATGCAACTGCATAGACAAACGCCATTGAATTCAAACAGTTAATAGACAAAATGAAATAGGGATGAAGGATAAATAGAACAAAAGAAAAAGAATGATGATGCTTTACTGAAAGAAGCTAACCAGAAAGCTTATCTGAGATGTGAACCCTGTGATCTGCGTCAACGTAGGAAATCAATTTACCGTTAAAATTGTGGAACTTGCCATGTTCTCATGTAAATCCTTATTTCACTTATGTAGTCATATATATATATATATAAAATTAAATTAACTCCTTGTAGAGCTAAATGTAAAATGGTAACAATTTTTTTTGAAAAAATAATTTAACAACGAATTTATTTTTTATAACAAAAATTAGAATAAAAAGTTCTTTTTATTTGTTTTAAAATAAACTAGTTTAATGTGAAATTATTGCTCGTAAAAACTACTTTAAAAAAATTTAAATGATATTTTAAAGATGACACCGTTACATCTAAGTATTTTTTTAAAAGAAGTTCAACAGTCTTTTAATTCAGTCTCAGTTTTTTTTAATATATTGTCTGATTGTCTTACAAAGAACATGTTAAAACTGAAGAATCATTTTTAAGTTGCCTTGTTATTTACATAGTTAGAGATTGATGATCGTTCAACTGTCCTCTGAAGCTGTAATTGTCTATTGCTCTTAATTTCTCTATAAATCTTTTAAATGCTTTATATAAAAATATTAGATAAATAATAAATATATTTAATATCTTAACATATAGAATATTTTCTATATTTAATTTATAAAATTAGTGAATTTAGAATTATTCTATATACTCTGCGCACTCTCCCAGGCAATTATAATCCTATAACCTTAACAAACGTCCATTATAGAAAGGTCAGGGAAAATTCTAGGCTCTAGCTAGTGATGGGATTGTTGAATGTTGATGAAAACTACAAAATTCAATGACGAATGATGACATTATAGATATCCAATAAAAAAAGACAAATATTGACATTGTTTTCTCTTTTTCTAAACTTGGAGAATAAAGTTTGCGGTTGAAGAACAACACAAGATAATGCACCCATTGAACACTTGTTCCCACGGGAGACATGCTGAATGGCCACAATGATTTCAAGTTTTATAATTACAACCGACAGGCTCCACATCCACATGGTGAAATTATTTAATGGTGCTATGCAATCTTGCACAAATTTTTAATATAAAAAACTTTTGCAAGTTTGTGATCCTAAGAAATTTGTAACTAGCTTAACTTTATTTCAATAAAAAAATCATGTTAAAAAATAAAAATAAAATAAAGGGAGTCAACTTGTGGAAGATCTCTATGACAACTATATACAGGAGTCTTCCCATTCACAAGGAAAACCTTAGGCCTAGATAATGTGAACGTGGTGGTAGGATACACAGATTCCCCTAAAGAATATGGTCATGACTCATGACGTTAGCCAATGGTATGAGATTAGATTATTAAACTTGTTTGCTGCATTTATTTTCTAATAAACAAAAAAAACAAATTGTTAAGCAATTGCTTCCTAGGTTCCAATCTTAATGTCATTACTGTAATCCTGATGGATAAAAAAAAATATCAAAGATGTGCACACATTGACTATTGAATAATGTTTACCCTTTTATTGTTCACAGAAAAAGTAATTTTTTTATCAGGAAAAAATATTACAACAGTGACAACAAAGATCAAACTTGAGGACTCAAGAAAAACCTCTTATTCTTTAATAATTCTCTCAGTTGCAGACTTAAAACTGTTCTGTAAGGAGGTACATTTGTCTAAATTTAGTGTATGTTGGCCTAAAGTAGACCAAGATTGTATATTGTTTTTCTTTATACCGTGTTAAATGTTGATAATGATCTTACAGCCAGAGTTCCATATCCAAGAAGGGATAAATTAAAATGTTTCAATGTTGACAAATTTGTGTCAATATTGTGTTATTATGGTATGGCCTAAGTAAGAGAAATAAAACAAGACACTAACAAAAATGTACATGGTTACTTAGATTGGTGAACTAGATTGACCATCTGAGCTGAGGCTGCGTCTTCTTTTCTTACTCTTCTGCCTAAGTATCTCTTTGATTTCTTTTTCTTTCTTATCCACAAAATACATCAATTCCCTGAAGCTAGTGGTGGATCGGAAAAGCCTTTTATCTTTAGGCCTCGTTGGTGAAATTTCCTGGTCATCTTGCTCAGGTTCTGGGTTGAATTTGTTGTATTGGCAGAACACTTTGATGGAGAATGCAATCAAAGAAAGGACACATGCAATGCCACATATGAGAAAGAGACCCCAGAAGCTACTAAGAGATAGTTCATTTGAATCTACATTATCTTGTACAGAACAATCATGTTTTAAAAGCCATTTATCATGGATCTTTTGCAGGTCACCATTCTCTGAGAGTTGAAGAATGGCAGTTGACATGTCAACTGCAAGGGGAGAGTCCCTCTGGAATGCCTGCCATCAGGGTATCAAATATGAGAACAATATTAATATATTGTTGTGTAAGATATAAACATAACATGCATACTCATAGTAAGAGTCACAAAAGAAACAGCTTCAATAAGTACTAGAATACTTACACATGAACTTAGCTCAAACCTTTTCAAAAAGTAAACAAAACTTAGTTGCAATGCTTATTAGTGTTGTTCTCCAATTAAAATTGATAGTGTTTAGATAGTTGGTACTTTCACTTTCCAATTAAAATCGATAGTGTCTGGATAATTGGTACTTTCACTTTGATAACTAAAATCAATGCCAATTTTGATTAGAAAATAGTATCAACAATGTTCCAACACAATTCTCACTCACAAAAAAGAGGTTATTGGATGAACATCTAGGAATGTAACCATAGACATGTAAATAAAGATACTTACAAATCCCCAACCACTTTTAGTGAACTCCTGGCCAACGGTTCTGAACTTACAATTAGTACTTGACATTAAGATTTCAATATAAGGAAGCTCATCAACAACGGCCACAACCCCTCCATCTTTTGGTCCACGCTCAAGGGCATCAATATATGCCTCCATATTTTTCAATGTAACTATCCTTGATGGTTGTATATTGAGTTCCTCAGTCAAATACTTCCTTGCAAATGAACCTTCTTGAATTCCAATTGGTTGAGTACCTGAGATCAAGCTGTCAATTCCTTCAATTTGTGATGAAAGTTGCTGCACCGTGAGGATGGATGTTAAGCTAGCTGTGTAGCTTGAATTGATAATTAACACCACAAAAAGCCATATGATTAGCACCAATCTCCCAAGACCACTCACAGTGTTCTCTCCTGTGTCAGGTCAAAACAGCAAAGTAAGTAACAAAAACCGTTTACTAGGTGTCGCACAAAATAAGGACTGACACAAGGAAAATTTGAAGAATGAGAATCTGTGGGGTACGTACTGTGTGAGAAAAACATTGTTGAGAAACTAAACCTGCAAAAGAGGAACTTAACTCAGCAAAATATGTTACTTAATGTTAAAGCAAGCCACGCATCTCCTAGTATTACTAGACATACTACGCTGGGGTTGGAAATTCAGAAAGAGACCTCATTTATACCAAGACATTCTTATATAAAAGAAAGAGAAAAAAAATGAGTGGAAGATATGGAATCATATATTAACCTCAATTCTAACTTACAAATTGCACTCCCCTATTCAATGGCATACTATGCGCTTGCTATGATAAATGATGGTTGCAATGTCAAAGACACCCCTTGTCACATTCCAAGAGATTCAACCAAAAAGGCTTTCAAATGGTCAGAACATACTAACCAACAGACTGTCATGAGTTGTTTCTTTGGTCTACCACGAAACTCCGGATTGTGGCGGTGCTCAAGAATCCATACAACGGTTCCCACAAATATAAAAAAGGCACCAGTAACACACCACATTTGAGCAGTGAAGGGTTTGAGGAAAGACCAAGGACTTGATTTGATCTCCTTGACAGGAACAACAACAACCAGCCCTGATTCCATGTAAGGTTGAGTAAAATCCAAAAACCTTGTCCTGTTTGGGACAATTGTAACATCACCAACTGCAGCATCAAAGTTCTGAAGAAGTAAAAGGCCAAATTAACATAACTATTAGAATTTGAATATGCCTCAGCCAACCTTGAAAACACAAAATAGTATTCTAGAATCTAAACACAGCATTCATAGACTATTCACAATTGGAATCCATATTAGGCTGCAAACTTGATTTAGAAACTTACATTTAGTGCAACCTGACTTGCAAGGTCATCATAGCTCGGATTTCTATCACCAGGTCCAAATAATATGTATTTTCGTGGGACAGGATAAGGCAACAAGTTTATGGCAGCTTCAAAGACATCAATGCAATAGCCTCTTACTCCCGGGGGGTTCTTGTCTTTAGAAACAAATTCCAAGTAACTTACTCTATTAGGCACTGCTATTCTCAGTGGCCTTCCATTGTTGGGGAACACCCACCCTCTTGGTTTATTTGTAGTTTCTCCAGGCCATATAACACTATACAGTTGTTGGCTGCTTGTTGAAGTGTTAGGTGGTTTCTTATACAAAATTTCTGGAGCCACAACTGAGAGACCTGAGTAATTAGACCAATAACCAATTCTCCTCATTCCGGATCCACCAATGTTCAAGATATCATATGCTGGATGCATTCTATTCTTTTCCAAATCAAACTGAACTTCACCAGTCAGACCAGTGAAGTTGGTTCTCAAAATTGCCTCGAGAAACTTGGCACCATCTCCAAAAATACGAAGCGATTCTAGATGCAACATGCTTCCATTTGTGTCGCGCAACTTAGGGTCAGAGGAGAAAGATACCATGCCACCTTCTTTGAGAAAGGCATCAAGAGCACGAGCTACTAACCACACAGAATCATATGCATACAATGCATAGGAATTGAAGCTTGGAGTCTCCTTGTCTTTGAGTCTCTTCATCCTGGAGAGAAAACTCTTCTTTTCATTAGTATCAGGAGTGTGATGACGCAAAGCCAAAACCCCTTGAAGGAGATTCATAGTTTTAGGATCAACTGGCTCTAATGAATCAAGTGCTGAAGCAAGCCAATCTGTTGCAATCCACACATAGCCACTGTTCATCATTCCTAGCTTCTCAGCAAGAGAAAAAATGTTCAAACCATTATCAGGATTAACATGAAGAACAAAAACCCGTGATTCCATTAGGTTCACTCCATTTAACAAGTCACTGATATCTTTCTTGAGGGCACCAGGAGGGAAAGGAGCCTTATAAGAGATCTTGGCACGTTTCTTTGCCAAAGCATCTCCCAATACTGAAATTCCATTCCTTCCATTATCATCATCTACATATATGGCAATTACCTCCCTCCATCTATAGTAATCAACCAAGTCTGCAATTGCATACATCTGATAATAATCACTTTGGGTGCTGCGAACAAAATATGGGTACTGAAGGGAAGATAGAGATGGGTCTGTTGCCCCAAATGAAACAAGAGGGACATGGAGTTCATTGACAACATGAGAGATGACATGTGCTATTCCTGAGGACTGTGGACCAATGGCAGCAACCACTTCATCCTCCATCAATTGCAAAGCTACATACATCATACATGATCAGGAAAAATCAATGAAGCCTGTTCACTTTTTTTGAACATGCAAATATAGTCTAAAGAAATTCTTTAAATTCTGTCCCATTAATATTTACGCAAATGGCATAACTGATGTTAATGTGAATTTGGGACAGTTTAGATAAATTTCACAACAAGTACTACAGAACAAAAAAATATACGGTAAAGTGAAACTAATTTCTCCTATAAATTAAAATCAGTTTATGCACCTTAACTTGTGAAGAAGGTAGATGAGAGAACTCTTAAAGAAGTTGAAGTACATGAGTTGATTTTGATTTTCAACTTGTGTTTGAATTAACTTTCAATTCTGCAAAATCAATATATAATTGCTTCAACTTTTTCAATTTTTCACCATGATTTTAGTAATCAAAATTGATTGTAGGAGGTATCCATACACACTTTGAGTTTAATTCATTTTATCTTTTTATTTTTCTCTCTGATAAGTACTTATGAGAAGATTATCCAAACTAGACCTTCGTTCATAATTCAGGTTTCTGTTCTCTAAATGATTGTGTCATGAGTCCCGCGTTAAGTTTTTTATTTTTATTCTACTCAATGTGGGACACATAACAGATTAGTTATCCACAAAGATGCTGACACGAATAGGATTGTGAATATGTATACCTTGATGCATTTGGAAACTAATGTGGTTTTTCAGCAACAAAATTATAAGCATCAGATATTTCACATTGCAATAAACGCACGGTACTGCCTAGCAGAATATGATTTAGCAAGACTGAGAAGAAAGCAAAATTACTCTAAACATAGCAATTGACAAAGTTACAAAATTGAGCATGATTATAAATAGAATGAAACATACAATGTGAAGAAACGGTCCACGAAGATTATATCTATATTGCCTGAAATGGCATGTTTATTAATCCTCAATTTTAAAGAAACAATCTTCTTTTTCAGTAAAGAAGATGTTCAAATAAATCAATCCAAAGATTCCGAACAAACACCAAGTAATAAAAAGGCAATGGACAAAAGCAAGAAGTCTAATTGAAAATAAATACATTCATTAAAAACAAGACCTCAAATTGAACAAAGAAACAGCATCTTATAGTAGAGCTTCAAACATTCAAGTTTTGGCAAGTACCTTCCATTGTTCCAACAAACCCACTGCAATTTGTATCATGTAAAACAACCTCCAGCTTAACGCCAGGGAGAACGTTCGAATTATCATTAACATCATCAAAAGCAGCCATAAGTGCAGGTTTTGCCGACCTTCCAATTATAGAATTAAGAGTAAACAAAGCTCCAACTCTTAAAACTCTTGGTGTTGAAGAATTAGTAGAGTTTGTGATGGTAGTTCCATTCCTTCCCTCCACCACCAGAGAGGGAATCCACAAGCAGAAAACCGAGACCAACAACACCCTCCCCACAAACATTTTTCCATCCATTTGTGAGAAAACACCTCCAAGTTCTTCAGTTCAAAGCAGCATCAGAACTCAGCACCTGTCATGTGCCAACCATTTCGGCAGCAGCCCAGAGACAAACATGGTAAGGCAAGAATCATCATGGCTGGAAGGAGCCAAAGAGCTCAATATTTTGGCATTAAGTTAAAATCAAAATCAACTCATTCCTATTCCTGAAGAAAACAGAAACCCCCACAGGAGACTAGATTCAAGCACCCAACAGGGACAAGCCAGATGGTACTATCACCAATTTGGATTTAAAAATTCAGATATCCACTTACCCAGATGGAAAAAAAATATGCTGCTAGCGTATCCAAAATACTTTTTTTTTAATTATTATAAATGTGTATGGTTTATAAAGGTATAGCCATAAAAAAATGGTTATAATAAGCCAATCAAGGTCAGAAATTCCAAGGTGAAAACTACCACTGAAACCATAAGTTAATGTATTGGTGAAGTGATGACCCACATGCCTAATAAATTGAGAATATGGAGAAATAAACAATAGTAAAATATTATGCAAGAGAAGCGACAAGAACATAGAGAGATGAGAGTATCAGAGATTACCTCACGCCAAACTTAAAGGGATCTAAGCTTCACAAATTGCAACAGTTTTGAACTCTAGTTATATATGGCTGTGGAGCATGTGATTGAAGACTGAGACAACGTACTTGACTAGCCAAAAGAGTGAAGCTATTGTGTTCCAAGGTGAAAGCAAAGAATCATAGTCCTTTCGGTCTGAGCTCTGAAGCATCAAGCATTGTCTTCTCCCCACGTTAATATCAGTAAGTGTGTTACAAAATCTTTGTCTTTTCGTGCGTCTATTATTATTAGGATAGTTACTTCGTGAATCACATTTTCTTTTTCATAAGAAAAGTGTGATGGTAATCATGTCGATGATTGGCATCGCTTGAAAGATAGTGTATCAACGTTTATATTATTTCCTTGTTTTCAATGTTTCAGTATAATATTAATTACTTATTTTTTTATTTATATTTATTATACTATTATTCTTAAAGTGATTATTATATTATATATCTTTTAGTAAAAAAGAATAACTATAAAATTAATTTTATAAATTATTATTATTATTTTATTTATTAATTTTTCTTAATTAATATAAAATAGTGTAAAACATATTTATTATAAAATGGAGAAAGTATATGCTAATTAAATTTAGTGCCACATGTTTAAAGTTGTTTCTGCCGCGAGTGGCGCACATTGTTGAGATTGACTAAACAAAATTGAGACTATTAGAGGAAAACTATGTTTTCATGGAGAGAAAAAAAAGTATGTACAACAAAAATCTTATAATAACTTTTACAACTATTTATCTCTTCCCATCATTTCAATTATTATAAAGAAAAATTATTGAAAAAAAAAAAACACAAAAGTGATAAATTATTGTATAATTTTTTTCAATATATGTAATATTACTTTCTTTATATATATATATAAGAAATGACTTAAAAGAGAATACTTATTAATATGAAGATATGAAAATAATTAATATCAACTTTTAGATTAAAATAAATAATTTAAATTAAAAAATTATATATAAAAATATCATGTATCATTATTATTATAATTTTTTCTATATTTATTATTGATGTTAATTTTATTACTTTTATATTCATTATATCTCTATCCTATTATCATCGTTATCATTACAACTATCACAACTATTTGATACTATAATCATTATTATTGTTATAATAAAAAAAATTGTTATTATTGTTGTCACTATAATATTATTGTTGTCATCATTATTTTATTATTATTGATGTGACACAACGTGTAAATAAAAGTGAAGATAATAAAATTAATTATTCTTTTATATATATATATGAAAAATTCTACAAACTCTCAAAACGTATTGGGGTTCCCCTCGGTCTTCAGAGAGTGCAGAAGAAGAGAAGAGAGAAAAGAAGAAAAGAAATCAGAAAATGAGAGGTGTGCCTTTTGGGAGTGGCTGAGAGCTCAATTTATAGGCATCAGCCTTCGCCGGAACGACCCATTCCAAATTTGGAACGCCCGTTCTGAACCCTTAAATCGTGGGTAAAAATCACATCCAGAACGGCCCGTTCTCAAACCAGAATGGCCCGTTCTGGTGTGCATTTATTACTCACAACGGTCATATTTTGGAAATGGCCCGTTCCAAGCCCATTCCCATTTAGGATTATAGGCAGTTTTAATAGTCCGGAATGGCCCGTTCCAACTTGAGAACGGCCCGTTCTGGGCTACTAACTCACATTCATTTTGGTAGTTTGAAACGGCCCGTTCCAATTCCGGAACAGCCCGTTCCAAGCTACTAAATCACCCCTATATATTTATAAAATTACCAAAATATCCTCAATAAAAATAAAATAAAATGAAATAAAAACTGGGGTGTTACAATATCCGTACTAATAAATTTCTTTTACCAAAAAATATTCTTAAATATTTTAAATTTTCATAATTAGGTGTTTTATTTACTTGTATGTGATAAATGATTTAAACTTTTGATTTGTTGGTATCATTGTTATTTTGGAGCTTTAGAGGTCAAAGGGCTTTTAAGAAAGCCAAGTTGTCTCCGTGATAGTTTTAAACAAAGTTAAGTTAGTTTAGTTCAAGGAAGGAAGTATAATATCTTTTTCTAAATGTGAACCTTATAAGTTCATGTTTTAAGAAAAAATAGAGAAAAGTTGGAGAGAAGGTCTTTGGAAACTAAATATTTCTTCTTCATCCTTCCCCACTAGATTCTTCTTCTGTTCCTTCCCTATAGTTGATCCAAGGTGACTGATTTGGAGATTCAAGTTTCTAGAGTTAGGAATCTCGAGTTAGAGTTGTGCAAAATTCTTCTCCTTCTTCTTCATCTCTTCTCGATTGATTGATTAGAAGTAAGGAAAGTTTATAGTCAATTGAATTGATATGGTTGAATGCTTCTTGTTATTGTTTGGTTCATCATCGCATGATCGATTTGGTGAGGATTATGAATTAAGAGTGTTGTTGGAAGTGCTCTTGAATGGAGTTTCTTGAGTAATTTGGGTGAATATGAATTTTGGACTCATTTGATTTTCAGGTTTGAGCCATTTAATGATGATTCTACTATGTGTGAAAAATCATCATCACACTAGGCACACCTTCATGGTGTTGAGCGTGTCTCGAGTTAGAGACTCTCTGCCTTAATCAAACCGAGTGCAGGATTGTTAATGTTGGGCATGGAATAGTGAGGAACTTTTTGACTTGGTCACATCAAGTGTGGTAATGAGAGGCATCGAGCGTGAAACCTCAAGGAGCTCCCTGACTCGGTGCTATCAAGTGCAAATGGAGAGGCATCGGGTGTGATCAAGTTAGTGGCTCTCTGCCTAAATGACATTGGTCGTAGGTTGAGTAGTGTCGAACATGAGTCAAGAAGAGGTGCCCTGCTTGAGTGAGACTAGATGTGGGTTTTGCCATGTTAGGCATAAGAGACTTAGAGACTCTTTTACCTTATCCACATTGGGTACATGTGGGTTCATAATGGGTGTGGACGAGATAGAAAACTTTGTCACAATAGCGCTAGGTGCCCAAAGAATGGTGTCAAGCATGGGTTGTTTAAAGAATTTGGTGAATTTTGGTTAAGTCTTGAAGACTATATGAAGTGTAATGTTGTTTAGTTGCCATATGATGTTGTATGATTATAATTCATTATGCATTAATCTAGGATAACATATAGTGGGGTATTGAGTTGATTATGTTGTGGGGTCATCACTCAAAATGTCTTAAACCAATAAAATATGCATGTATTTTATAAAATCATATTTATCCTTTCTTAATTGTATGCAACTTTGTTGTATCCCAATGCATCCAACTTTTTTCTTAACAGATTCCCGGGATTATAATCCTTGTTATTGTTTTTATATGTTTCTTATTATTGTGTTGCATCTAATATTTCACTTGCTTGAACATAGAGACCAATCTCATTGCAATGCATTTCGTTTTATTATTATGTCTTATCATTGTTTCTATAACTCATATTATGGGATTGGGCCTTATTCATTGTTTAGACATGCAAACTTGGGCTTGTCTATTTTCCTTCAGAAAATTGAACAAAATTGATTTATTTTTGGTACCGTCAGATGACAAAACAAAAGAAAACATGAAAAGGAAAATAAATAAGAAAAGAAAAATAGTAAGCACAGGAAAACAAAACACGCATGGTTCCTGGTGAGCACTGTACCGGAAGGGTCTTATTGGCCACGTGGATCGACATCTGATATCCTATCAGCCACCGAGACGGCTTTCAGACACGGTAATGGCCATAATAACAAACCTACAAGGCCATCAATGACTCAACTTGTTATTAGTTAACCTTCTTACCAGTGTCTTGGCCCGACAAAAGGTCGAGGTCGGCAGGTAACCCCAATCATACACCTCTCGGTAGGGTTAGTGGCCGGTAATACCAAACATCAGGACAATATAATTGGCTCTACTCCTCAGTAGCTCCTCGGCCCGGCAAAAGGCCAAGAACGAAGGGCAACCCCAACCCTATACCTCTCGACTCGGCCAGCGACCGATAGAGCCAGGCAGCGATTAAGATGATGATCATGATTAACAAGGGCAAACACGCGATTAAGGCATAATCAGCCAATTAGCACCGTATTACCTAATTTGGCAAGTGTCAGAAGAGGCCCACCACGTTCTGGGCCCATGACAAGTAGTATAAATAGGTCACGTAAAATGAGGTATGCACTGTTCATTTATTACCCTCGAGAATTGTGTTTGTTCTGACTTGAGCATCAGAGTACCTTTTGCAGGTACCTCCCCCCTCTGAAGCATCTGCCCGGAGCTCTCGTTCGGCCCTCCAGTTACCAGAAGATTACAAGTGTGCCCTTAGATACAAGCACCATCATTTTCCCAAAGATCTGCACAACTATTATCCTGATGGAGAGAAGATGCTTCAAACTAATGTCTCGGATTGGTTGAATAATGGAATAATAAACATGCATAGCTGAGAGACCAAGTGAATACAATGCATAGAGTCCTTATAACTGATGATTCTACAGAAAAGGTGATTTGGGATCATATCCAACCCATATCTTATCTAGGCAATGTCGTATTCTTTGGAAAACAAAATAGGATCATAGATGCTCAGAGTGGATAGTCCCTCTAAGATAACACATGCAGTCATAAACTATATGTAGGAACATCTCATCAACAGAAGCATGCCCAACACAAATAAGCGATGGGCTCATGCTCGGGTCATGTTGTGACATAAGTATTTTAAAATTATTAAAAGAATGTTTTAATTAATTAAACGAGTTTTTAGAAGATATTTTAGAATTCTTTAAAATAATTATTAAAATTTTAATTAAATAAATATAAAAAAATTTAAATTATTTTATTATAATAAATATTTGAAAAAATGTTTAATTATTTTATTTATAATTTGGATCGAAAGAAATATGTTTATTTTACATATCATTTATTTATAAAGTTTAATTAATTAATGGTAGAGAAAGTGTAACCACGATTTATTTGATTAACTAATGGGTTAAATGTAGATTTGATAGTTTTATGGAGGATTGTGTCAGTTTTATATTTTTATACTCCTCACTTTCTCAATTTTGGAATCCAAAGAATGCAAAAATGGACGGCATATGAGTAACGAGAATAGATCTTCATCTTTCAAAAGGTGCTCACAAAGGTCGGGGGAATAAAAATTTTCTCCTTTGGGAGTCAATTAAATTGTTGAGTTGGTAGCTTACAATCCTTTTTTGCACGAGTATCTAATACTTGGGGGAAATTCGTAGTTTGAGTTAAGAAAGTGTAATTAGGATTTTGTAAGTTTTTTATGAGCATGAGATGCTATATAAGTGAGTTGTACTTATTATATA